CCTTTTATTTTTTGAACCTGGTCCGCCGGACCGGTCCGGGTCCGGGTATTAGTCACTCGGTCCGGGTCTGGCGGACCGGTCCGGGTCCGGGTTTTAGTCAGTACCCACACCGACTAGTAGTGACTGAGTGACTGACTGCACTGTTCCCATTTGATTCAGACCATTAAACCAATACTAAACATAACTGAATGACAACCAAACAAACCTCAAACGACTTGAAATGAGACTTAGCCTATGTTATGAGAAAAGCTAACACTGTTTGAAATAAACATGTTCACAATTCAAACGTTTCATTTCAATTCACTGCATATAATTATTTTATACCTATATAGTTTTATAATTGTAATTGTTTTGTTTCTAGTTATAAATTCACATATTTAAAGATTGAAATTAAATATTTTATTTAGAATACTCATATTAGAGTATAAAATCTCTCTAATAAGGTTGATAGACAAAAGGCTACTCACAATAATAAAATGACTACAATCTCAACCAACCCTTCTTATATACCTAAGGCTAAGCTAGCTAACACATGTAAATTGTATAATATAATTAATATATACGTAACAAATAAGTCAATAAGTCAAATAGTTAGGTAAAGACTACTTATAGCCTCATAAGAATTAGCTAAGCTGCCAGCTATGTACAATCATATGGTCCACCGCTTCAAACTCTTCAGGCAAATCCAAAAATTTTTCGCTATCGATTGGCTTATGCTGAATCTTTGAGTAACAATGTATATTGTATTGCAACACTCGATGCCTCTGTACCAAAAAAAATACAAGTCATTGGAACCTAATGCTAAATAAGTAAAGGCAACAGGTTTTTATTCCAATTTGTCATAGTACATTTATACTAAACCTTGAATAACAATACCTCAAAATAAATTAAAGACTGCCACTCAATATATTTAAATATATTAAAAATTTGTTAAAAATAAGGATTTTTTTATTAAAAAATCAAATTATTTAATCACATGATTTAATCATTGCCAACCCTGTCCAAGTGAAGAGATTGGAGCTTTACTAGGAAAGTAGGAGTCTTTAGGGACTACTATAAATTCGTTCAATATACTGTTATTCTAACCAAAATACCAGTTGTGCTTAGACTGGGAGGTGTGTACTACTGTACTCACATCAGTTACATGCACAAAAAGTAAAAAATATAACTCAGGTCTCACCGTCTCAGTACTCACTGCAGTGAGTGACAGAGAGCTCATTTTCTCGTCGACAAAAACGTGGTCACGGATGGACCGACGGACAGACAGACGGGGAGCGCAGCCGTGGGTAACAAAATTGACTCGTAAACAGGCCCTGGGCCTCGGGGGGGCGAGGGGGAGGAGGGTCTGGCTGGGGACGGGACAGACCGTCTGCACGTAGGGCAGATCCAATCTTCGGTGTAGAGTCTAATATAGCGCAGGCCGGAGCATCGCTTATGGATATAGGCACTGCACCAGGTGCACCAGAACGAATGTCCACTCCACGTGACTGGTAGGGAGCAGACCGAGCAGGGGGGTGCGGGTCAGGGTTGGGGTGTATACCCTGGGTCAGGAGAAGAAGAACGAGCAGGAAGAAGAGATGGGAGGAGAGCAGGGCACAAGGAGCCCCAAGGAAGATAGGCGGCCAAAGATGTGGTTAGGGGGAAGAGGAGGTCGAGGTTCCCCTGCCCTTAGCAGAAAAGTGAAGGAGCCTCCGTCCGGTAGCGATCCGGGCGGGGGGCCTCTGCCGTTTGGCCTGGCCCACGCGAACGCCGGGTAACCGGCCGACGCGTAGGCCAGGGTACCCCCACGACGTAGACGCGGCAGAGATCGGGGGCGACGCGGCAGAGATCGGGGGCACGCGGCAGAGATCGGGGGCGACTACTCCGAGATCTCTACTCCGTTAGGAGTAGCATGTTGCGGTAGGGCCTGTTGCGCTCCGGCCAGTTGTGCTCCGGTGCTGTGAACCAGTGCCTGTGACTGAACGGCACTGTTGTGGTGGGCGCTATGTGTCGAAAGCCGTGAAGATGCCCGGCTGCGTTAAGCTCGGGAAGGTATATGAATCGCACTGTGGACTTGGGCTATGCTGACCTCTAGCTATCCACCCCCTATGAGTAGACCAGCAAAGTATTATGGATACTAGCATTATCATACATAAGATATTGGTTTGCATCTTGAGTAAATGAAGATTAAAAATAATATGCGTTTAAAAATTACTTCTTTAAAGACAACGCTTTTAAAGAATACAGTGTCTTCGATGTTACACATCTACAATGAATTTCTAATTTTATTTCCATACCTTAAAAAATTAATTTTTAGACTTTTTAATATATGAAAAAAATTAAAATTTCAAAATTATTTATTCTGTAAATTGATTCATGCATTGTCTCCGACTTTACACAATTGTGCAAAATTTCAGATCGATTGGAAAGATAGAAGTGTGTTAAATATTAATTATAATATTTGTAGCAGACAGACAGACAAACAGACAAACAAAAAGTGAAGTTAATGAGATGTGTTGTAATGAACTGATTCTAAATAAAATACTTTAAAAAAACTTTAAAAAAAGCACGTTTTTCTTTTGGACTAAAAAGTAGAAAATAAATTATGGCTCGCCCCAAAAAACGTGTGTCGGGCAGATTTATGATTAAAGTGAAAAGCACACAACAAACGAATTTTGGAAATTTGATGGTGAAGGTACAGCCTGACCCACGTTTTTTGGGGCGAGCCATAATTTATTTTCTACTTTTTAGTCCAAAAGAAGAACGTGTTTTTTTTTTAAGTTTTTTTTAAGTATTTTATTTTCTCCTTTTTAGTCCGTTGCTACACATGAAAAACGTGGTTTTTAAAAAGTTCGATGCGTATCGATGATACGCAGCGTCAGCGCCTGCTCGTCTATAACGTCAGCGCCCGCACGTCATACTATATATATACTATATAAATATACTTTACTCAATTAAGCTAATTTAGGTCTCTAATTGTTAGTTTTTATGATTGTATCTGAAATTGTTAGGCGAAAATAGCCTGCATGCCAAATTTCAGACCTCTAGAGCAATCAGAAGTGGGCTAATTTTCGTTGTCAATGTTAACAACAAACAAACAAACAAACGTGAAGCTAAGTTAAGAAAAACATGTTAAAAATGTCTGGTTTACAACTATGAGAGGAATTATTATTAACCTAATCTAATGAGAGGTACTACCGACAAACTAATGGTCACACAACAGCTTTAATCACAAATGATGTACTAAAAAAGAATGTTTTTTGGAGGCAGGGTAATGAGGAAGGAGGGAACATAGACAAGGGACATTTATACAAGGGACATAGACATTTATAATAAAGCATATTATAAATGTTTGACAGGTTTTTCACATGATATGTGTTCTCTAGCCCAAAACAATTAATAGAGAAATAAACAATGCTCTATATTTTACTCTACTCCACTCCACTCCATTCCACTCTACTCCACTTCACTCCACTCCACTCCAGTCCACTCCATTCCATTCCATTCCACTCCACTCCACTTCACTCCACTCCACTCCAGTCCACTCCAGTCCACTCCAGTCCACTCCAGTCCACTCCATTCTATTCCATTCCCCTCCGCTCCACTCCGCTCCACTCCATTCCATTCTATTCTGTCTATTCTATTCTATTCTATTCTATTCTATTCTATTCTATTCTATTCTATTCCATTCCATTCCATTCCATTCTATTCTATTCTTATCTATTCTATTCCATTTCATTCCATTCCATTCTATTCTACACGTATTCTTACACGTAACTCAAACACACGTGGTTAATGTTAATCTAGATGCTGAGCCAAACGAGGAAAAAAGTTAGCTGGTGGCTCAAATGAGAGTATTGATGTCAAGACCTTGTACAGAAGCTGTACAAGGTCTTCTTAAAAAATTGTCCACCATTCATGCGGTAGAAATTTCATGCCTTGGACACTCATAAGCCCGGCCTGATGGACGGCAGGCATTGTGCTGTGTGTGCTGTGAATTTCTTGACAGGAGCTTCTCAGAATTGCCTGTGAAGGTGGATTAAGAAAAATATTGAAGAAACAATGCTCAAATAAATATTCAATCGTTTATAGTATTTGTAATAAACTCAAATTATTCAATACTTATATGCTCTAGTGATCTATTATCGCTCTAGCCTAAAGAGTCTGTTTTCCCGTTGTAATGAATAAGATCTAAATTTGGCAGTGGCTTATAGGGTTTGTCCTGTTCCCTCCGAATTAGCCGCTACATTTATGAAGCATTATACGATTTAACAATATTAATACTCGTAACATTTTTATATGCAGTGTTTGTCCAGTAATGGAAAACTACCCTCAGCAAGTGACAAGCAACAGCATCTTGCATCAGCTGGCCCAAAGTAGGGCAAATAGACGAAATAAATTCAACGTTACACCCGGGACCGAGGGCGGGGTGACCTGCCTATATAAGCGACGACTCGGAGACGGAGGACGACGAAGGCAGAGCATCAGCTTGACCGTGGACTACGAAGTCCTAAACTCATCATAAGGTCATAAGTTCCTAAGGTTTGTTGTCGATGCGAGTTCTTCAAGCCACCGTCACTGCAGACATAATCGTGCCTGTCAGTGGGAGTTCTTGTTCAAGTGGAAGTTCATCAAGTTCATTGATAGTCAATAAATTAATATTTCCCAGCCCTAAAGTTCCAGTCATCTGGGAATGTTCCTTGTAATTACCTAGTGTAGACGGAAAGGCGCGTCAATTCCTGACGTTTAGTGCACTCGAACTGCTGCAAGCTTTGAAGAAGGTTTGTAAAGAAATAAGTTGTGAGCTTTAAGTTTTATTTATGTGGCATATTTGGGATTATCGGGTCGTTATTAATTAAAAAAGATTAAATTATTAAATTAAATTATTATTAATTAAAAAAATCCCTTAAAAAAATAAAAATTATTTTTCAAAGTTTCTGTGACAGATCGTAAAATAATGATGCAATTTTTAAATTGAAATGTTATTTTTCATTGATAAATAAGTCACTACTCGTGCGAGTCTACAAATGGAATGAATTAATCAGTCTCACTGAAGCTATTCGCTACGGCATCACAATGCTACAACAGCTCATCAACTCATTCGTGCTGGGGGCCTTGACTGCTCTAGCGAGCTCTCTGATCACCATGACGGCATACCGCACCGCCACCCTAGAGCAGGACGAACTCGTCGACTTTATCGTGGGTGAGCGAACGATAGATTATTTACGAAGTTTAATATCGACTTTCGTGTGTAAATTCGTCAAGCAGTTTTCTGTTTGAGTAAGTTTCGGAACCACCCTAGGCAAACTCGTCATTATCGCAAGATGACTTATTCTTATCGTATGATGACTTACACACTGAGTTATACTTATCGTATGATGATAGTGTGAGAATATCAATTACCACGAATGTACTTACAAAATTATAAATCATACTAGTTAAGTAGTGATTCTTTTTAACTGAAAATTTCCATGACCTGCATTGAAGCACAACATGGAAGGAAACTTTCCTTGACCTGCATGCAAGGACATGACCTGCATTCTAATTAATTCTTGACGCCGACAGTGGGGAGCGGGAGCGCAGGCAGCGTCGTGGCCTCGCGACTCTCCGAGAACCCGAACTGGGAGGTGCTGGTGCTGGAGGCTGGGGGGCAGCCGCCCCCGGAGAGCAAAGTGCCAGCATTTGCAACATATGCCATTGGATCGGACAGCGAATACAACTATAACTATACAATTGCTCCATAGAGACATGCTCTACTCAACTTCAAAAATCAAGTAAATCTTTTTTACCACTTGTTAGTACACTGCAATGATCTCTATGAGTGGCATAGGTATTGCCACTGAAAGCTGATTCAAGCTTCAATTCTCCCATACATGACAAAAAAAAAGAATAGTCTTTTATATATCAATTGAACCTTAATTTATGCTGGTCGCGAAATGCTCACCCAACTTTTATTCAACAGGAATCATTTTTTCCCAGAGGGAAAGTAATCGGAGGATGCAGTGCCATAAATTACATGACCTTCATAAGGGGCAACAGGAAGGATTTCGACACTTGGGCTGAGATGGGCAACACGGGTTGGGACTACGACTCCATTATGCCATTCTACATAAAAATGGAAAATTACAAAGGAAAACATGCGAAGAAATACGGTGAGTTGCGTTTTCGAATTTCAATGAAATAGCAATAGGACCTACAATACGTTGTTTATTTAATTTGTCCAAAATAAGCAAATTGGAAAGGTAATTTTAATCACCATTATTGACCTCACAGAAGGCATCATTATTCGCAGCTAAATATCACAGTCAAACCGGACCACTGTCCGTGGAGAGCTTGAGGTGGGACTCGCCGTTCACAAAATATTTCATGGCGGCTGGAAAAGAACTTGGACTCGAAGAGGTCGACTTCAACTCAGAGAAGTCCGTTGGTGAGTCATGATCCTGCTACACCGGTTCAGTAAAGCCTGTTGGTGAGTCATGATCCTGCTAAACCGGTTCAGTAAAGCCTGTTGGTTAGTCATGATCCTGCTACACCAGTTAAGTAAAGCCTGTTGATGAGTCATGATCCTGCTACTCCAGTTCAGTAAAGCCCGTTAGTGAGTCATGATCCTGCTACACCAGTTCAGTAAAGCCTGTTGGTGAGTCATGATCCTGCTACACCAGTTCAGTAAAGCCTGTTGGTGAGTCATGATCCTGCTACACCAGTTCAGTAAAGCCTATTGGTTAGTCATGATCCTGCTACACTAGTTCAGTAGAGCCCGTTGGTAAGTCATGATCCTGCTACACCAGTTCAGTAAAGCCTGTTGGTAAGTCATGATCCTGCTACACCAGTTCAGTAAAGCCTGTTGGTGAGTCATGATCTGCTACACCAGTTCAGTAAAGCCCGTTGGTGAGTCATGAACCGGTCTATGAATCAACCGGCGTACAGTTCACAATTCTTTTAAGATGAGGATCGTATACAACAAAGTCCGATCAATTTTCGTCATCACTATGGAGGTGGAATCAACAGATGTATTTTTTCACTTGTTGTGTCCTCCAAAAAAAACATCTCAGGGCCATAATGTATCTTATAGTATCGCCACTCACCAGTCGGAACCGCAGAAACGAAACTAGGTCCATCTGTTCACTTGATCGTTCATGAACATCAGCTCATAATTATAACGACCCGATGATGGTGTAACTAACCATGAAAGTGTAGTTATAAGCACATCATTAAAGTGATGAATTTCGCAGGATACAACGCCCCCGACTTGACAACAAATAATGGCGAGCGCCACTCAGCTTCTGACGCTTACCTCAAACCTAACCTGCGCCGCTGCAACCTGCGACTGCAGGCCCGCAGTCTGGTCACCAAGGTAAAGCTCACCATGGTTCATGATAAAGCTCATCATAGTTCGTGGCAAAGCTCATCATAATTCGAGGTGAAGCTCATCATAATTCGATGTAAAGCTCATCATAATTCGAGGTAAAGCTCATCATAGTTCGTGGTAAAGCTCATCATAATTAGAGGTAAAGCTCACCATAATTCATGGTAACGCTCATCACAATTAGAGGTAACGATCATCATATTTCGAGGTTAGGCTCATCATAGTTAGTGATAAAACTCATCATAATTCGAGGTAAAGCTCATCATTGTTCGTGATAAGCTCATCATAATTCGAGGTATAGCTCATTATAATTCGAGGTAAAGCTCATCATAATTAGAGATAAACATCATCATAGTTCGTGGTAATGCTCATAATAATTAAAGGTAAAGCTCATCATATTTCGAGGTTGGGCTCATTATAGTTCGTGGTAAAACTCATCACAATTCGTGGTAAAGCTCATCAAAATTCGAGGTAAAGCTCATCATAGTTCGTGGTAAAGCTCATCATAGTTCGTGGTAAAGCTCATCATAGTTCGCGGTAAGCTCATCATAATTCATATCAAATCATATATTGCGCCTTTTGCAGTCACTCGGTGCTGCATTCTAGAGTCCACATAACATAACATATAGTGATATCGGTTCTGAAGAATAGGCCTGATGTGGCCTGCCGCCAAATCTTGAACTTTTCGTGACTTGTTCACAGAAGATCTAAAATCGTGTCATTTGACCGGATCTTTTCACGACTGACGATAGTTTCAAGTAGCTACTCGACTTCCACCGGGTTCGATATGGTACTAGGCATTTCAAATCTGAACATATATTTTTCCATAGCTTTATCTAGTCTGTTCAAGAACGTGTTCATACTTGGAGCGCCAACGATGTAATCGGGGAGGCTGTTTACAAACAATTTTATCTCTGAGTTAACCTTTGATTTTTTGTTTGAAGAGATGAAAACGAGAAATATGTTTGAGTTACGATTATTTTTTCTCCATTCTTTCATACGAATCAGTCTATTCTTTACGGTAAGGTTGATCGGAAGAACAATCGCCGCTAATGTGACTAAAAATCAACCATTTCCAGGTCATCATTGATCGCAATCTTCGAGCTATTGGCGTGGAGTACATTCGCGACGGCAAGGTTTGTAATTTACATTTTCATGCTAGGAATAAAGTCACCCATAAGTATTCAAGTGCAAGGTCATTAACAATGACTCATATTATGAAACTAAAAGCCTTCGTGATGGGCTGTTTGAACCAAATTATTAATGGGCGATGTTATAGTTATTTATTGAATTCCGGTATTCACTTCGGGGGCATACATTCGCTCCGATGTTCAGTCACGTGCTTTTAGTTTAATTGTACATTTATTTGATAGAACTGAGCCGAAATAGTTCAATATTAGGCAGTGCAACACAGGCTCCTAGTAACAAGCAGTGGTCGTCTTAATTAGGCGTTGCTTGCTTCAGGTCCTCCTGGCATTCATGCTATCAGTTGGTGTGCGAATTTGTTGAGCAAGAGGTTTCAAGCGCGCATTGTTGCAACGTCAAGCGTCCCAAATAATTCAGATGAGTTATCGATTTATGATTAGTTTGTGTAATCGAAAATGTGATTGTATATTATCCAAATGCACACTGCAAATACTACTTATGAGCTACTTATGACGAGCACATAGAAGAAACTTCATCATCGTTACACCAGTCAGAACATCTACTGAAGAACTTCAGTCTTAGTTTACCACAGTATTACTTGAGCCAATTAATTGAATTGAATATATTATCCTCTGAAATCGATCGCGCGTGGTGGAGAACGATCGTTGAACGGAATAGTTAGTCAATTCTATAACAAAGTTCGTACAATAACGCACGTGGCACTAGCTGTAGATGTGAGACTGTACATCGCATCATCATTCAGTTCACCTCAATGCTGGTCACCACCACCAGATGAGGAGAGCCTTCGCCAGGAAGGAAGTCTTCCTGAGTGCCGGCGCCATCGACTCCCCCAAGCTGCTCCTGCTCTCAGGCATCGGTCCTAAGGAACAACTTCGCTCCCATGGGGTCAGTTCTGAACTGCATTGCGTCATGCGCATCGTCATGCTCATCGTCATAAACATCGTCTTAAGCATTGTCATGAGCATAGTCATAAGCATTATCATACGCATCGTCATGCGCATTGTCATACGCATCGTCATGCGCATTGTCATACGCATCGTCATACGCATAATAATGAGCATCGTCATGCGCATAGTAATGAGCATAGTCATACGCATCGCCACGCGCATCGTCCCGAGCAAAGTCATAGGCATCCTAACGAGCATCGTCATGAGCGTAATCATATGCGTTGTAATGCGCATTGTCATACGCATAATCATGCGCAATGTCATACGCATCGTAATGCGCATTGTCATAAATATAGTCATACGCATAGTCATACGCATAGTCATGCGCAATGTCATACGCATCGTAATGCTCATTGTCATAAGCATAGTCATACGCATAGTCATGCGCAATGTCATACGCATCGTAATGCTCATTGTCATAAGCATAGTCATACGCATAATCATGCGCAATGTCATACGCATCGTAATGCGCATTGTCATAAATATAGTCATACGCATAGTCATGCGCAATGTCATACGCATCGCAATGCGCATTGTCATAAGCATAGTCATACGCATAGTCATGCGCAATGTCATACGCATCGCAATGCTCATTGTCATAAGCATAGTCATACGCATAGTCATGCGCAATGTCATACGCATCGCAATGCGCATTGTCATAAGCATAGTCATACGCATAGTCATGCGCAATGTCATACGCATCGCAATGCTCATTGTCATAAGCATAGTCATACGCATAGTCATGCGCAATGTCATACGCATCGTAATGCGCATTGTCATAAGCATAGTCAAAAGCACAGTCATACGCATTGTCATACGCAATTTCAAACGCATCGTAATGCGTATTGTCGTAAGCATTCATACGCATAGTCATGCGGAAATTCATGCGCATCGTCATGCCCAGATGCGTTACGAGCTGACGTAAATCGAGACCGAGAAGATACTTTGCCGCTTAATCTTGTTTCGATTATTTTTTTAATGAAGATCTCTATAAATATGACATAAAAATTAACAATCTGTAATGAAATCTAACTTCTCTATTAGAGTATTTGCTTGGAAAAGAAAACTTAATAAAGCAAGAATTATTCAATAACACTGTTGTAAGTTTTAAAATCGCAATTTGAATGCACGATTTAGAGCCTTATAAAGTTTCCGGATTTGCATTTTTTATGTATCAGCATTTTTATGTATCAAGATAACAATGTTATATGTTTTACAGGAATCATTAATTGCTGCTCACCATATACTTAATTTGTGCCAATACATACGAGCTCGAGGTGTCGGTGGAATCATAATATTGCATATAGTTATTTAATGGAATTTGATAGTGGAAATTAGATGGTTTTAAATTACCTTGAAATATTGGGTTTTTGACAGCCCGAGCCACAAACTAGATACACCACTACGTTTTTATTTGCATATTTAAATGTATTGCAATATTCGTATTGCCTGCTTAAAAACATTTGCTTCCACATGCCATATAATATCAGCAGGTTTACGATGTATCGACATCGTAAACCTGCTATTGGAAGTCGACTTAGAATTTTTTCAGTTTTCTTATAACCTGAACATTATGACTTTGCTACAGCATTATATATAATCTGTCCACAGTGCAGATGGGTTATTTTTCTTAGGCGACGCAGATATTATGGTTAAAAATTTTCCTATATCATAGGTATTATTTTCTATCTACTTATATGATAATATTGCAGAAGAAGTTTACTATACAACTTGACATTTATTTGCGAATTGGAACGAATATTCATGTGGTATCATATTGGATTTCAGAAATAACTGATATGCAAACCTAGTGCATAATCTAAAATTAACATGGAAAAACGATGTACTTTCTACATTTCAAATACTTCGTGAGTGATTATTTCGAACGGTATCTTTATATGGGTACGGCCAGACTAAAAGTGTTTTCGCGTACGCTAGTTGACGCTTCAAGCAGAGCGGCACCGCGCCGCGTGTACGGTGTCCTCCTAACTAGACGCTGCGCCGGGTAGACGAGTCAGTCTCGTGCAAAATGGCTGCGAGTGAGGAATTTCTAGCTAGAGTGCTTCTATGCAAAGTACTTATTTATAGAAAACGATAAAATCGGTATTCATGCTATTAAGAGAGCCAGATTAGAGTATGGATAATACCATCATCTGTTCCCTGATTTGCGTAATAGCTCAGAAAGATTCAGAGAGTACACAAGAATGACAGTGGCTACATTCGATGAGCTCCTTAGTTTGATGGCAGACGAGGTGTACAAACAAAGTACAAATTTCAGGCCCTCGATCTCTCCAGAAGAAAGGCTCGTAGTGACAATACGGTAACAGAATGAAATGGTTTGCTTTCATTTTTTACAACACTTCTCTTTAACTTCACTTCTTGTCTGTCTGTCTGCTACAAATCTTGTAATCAAAATTTAATACACTTCTACTTATCCTATCAACCTGAAATTTTGCACACTTGTGTAAAGTTGGAGACAATGCATGAATCAAATGTCAAAATAAAAGATTTTAGAAATTAAAAAAAAATTTTTTTTTTTAAATGTATATTATACAACACTTCTCTTTAACTTCACTTCTTGTCTGTCTGTCTGTCTGTCTGTCTGCTACAAATCTTGTAATCGAAATTTAACGAAATTTAACGATCTGAAATTTTGCACACTTGTGGAAAGTTGGAGACAATGCATTTTGAAAAGTAAAAAAAAATTTTTTTCAATATTAAAAAAATTGAAAAAATAATTTTGTCAGCTACAAGTCTTATAACTGATATTTGACACACTTTTACCTGTCTAATTGATCTGAAATTTTGCACACTTGTGTGAAATCAGAGGCAATGCATGAATCAATTAATAAAATAAATAATTTTGAAAAAAATTATATATTAAAAAAATTTATTAAAAAAATTGAAAAATTAATTTTTTTAATATTCGAAAATTAAATGAGAAATTCATTGTACATCTGTAAGATTGGAGATACTGGATTCTTTGGAAGTGTTGTCTTTAAAAAGTAATTTTTAAACGTATATTATTTATTATTGTAACTGCTACAGGAGCAAACAAAAATGTTTCTATGTTCATCCCTGTCCCAAATTTGCACAATTTTTTCCTTTCAAAACATTCGGTTTCGTTTTCATCATGCAAAAAAGTTATACACAAATTTTTGAACTTTAATTTTGAATAGACATTGTTTTTTCTTTGTCATACTCTGCATAAAGGGTATAACGCTCTGCAGAGAAAGAGAGTACAGTCGTCAGGCTCAGTTTTTCCTTTGAGGAATTCGAGTTTTTCATTTTCTAATTGAAGGAAATTATCCCTAAAGTTATTCAGAATTTACCTCTTTTTCTTAGGAGCTTCCTTTGAGAGCTCATGAACATTTCACGCAATTCCGTCCATTTCGAGTTCCGACTGATAATCTTCAGTGTCTTGAGTTTCATAGTGTCTTGAGTTTTCGAAGTAATACTCGCACTCATTAACTCGGACTTCATCAGGGCAAGTTTGCTTTGATGTCATCTCTGACAAATTTCCGATTGTTTGATTTCCACTCATTTGACCCTTCAAAAAGTAGCACATTTTAAAATAAAGCCATTTGCATTCGTAAGATTCAGCGGGACGTCCAGCATCTCAGCGGGTGGCCCAGTGGTTAATTAAAGTCCAGAGTAGTACCAAGAGAGCAGAAAGGCGCGGGTTCGATCTCAGCTCAGTGCGCTTGTTTCTGGTCAGAATCGGCAAGGAGGCCGGGCGGTTAAGCAAAGCAAAAATTGAAGCAGTGAGTTGCGTGTTCGAGACCACAACAAGATGTCAATATTCTGCTATGTTAAGAATCGGCGACAGGCCTACGGTCTAATAAACGATGAAACCGCTATTCTATTCATTCTATTCTACTCCCGCGACTAGCCATGCGGAAGTTTCCTTAGTTCCACTCGAAATTTGTCCCTCATCGTTTTGTACTTATTTTTTGCTGATTCTGCTGGAAATTGACAGAAAAAAATGAAGTAATAAATATTAATTTAATTTTGACTCTATTTCTTCAGAAACCTTGCAACTGGATCTTTGTATCGATCTCTGGCTTTTAAATTCAGGATGGAGAAATCAACAGTTTCGTCTATAGTTATAGAAACATGCCAAGCTTTGGAAGAAACTTCAATTGAATGCATCAAATGAACAACATGAAACCGTAATTACCTCTTTTCCAAAACAGCTCTAGAATTGCAACAGATGTTCGGAAAAAATTACGAATTATTTCATATCTGATGCAGGAAAAGTTGCTTGGCAGAATCCTATGCTCTGAATAAACAATAAGAATACCCAAGTACTTCTGGTGTTTAGTTCATTAACATCTGTTTTCTTCGTTCAATAAAAGAAGACAAACTGTATGTTTTTTACTGTTCTTACCTATCATAGACCTCTGGTTGCTGATGTACAGTATGTCCTATAACTGCTGTGGGTGAGAGGCATCCCAGATTGCAGGTACCGCCTCAAGTGACGAGAGCAATGCTTCGATATCCATCACTTATGGCTGCTTCAAGGAGACTGCCCGGGTGCACGGGTGACGGGTGCACGCGCGTGTCCGGCGGCCCGGCCATTTTCAGTTTCCGCGTCGAAATATTTGTCTAGAGTCTAGACTAGAGTAATGTCGATTTTTCACCACGCGGCGCCGCTCCTGTATACGCTTGAGGCAGCTTCTGCCTGTATGCGTTTAGTGTGCCACTCTGGTAGAAATACATACATATAATATTGCAGCGTCAGCGCGCGTACGCGTGCGTAAAGGTGCCTGTACACAGGGATAGTACTAGCCGCTAGTTCATCCGGCGCATGAACTGTCCACGCTACTAGCCTCGTGTATAGGGGTTCAGCCGCTTCAGAGGCATGCGCCGGCAAGTGCCCGAGTCTCACTCGACGGCTTCTAATGACGCACTGGCGGGCGCGAAAGAGAAGATAGCGTCACCTTCTACTCTCCACGTGTGTACAGGCTTACTAGCCGGATAGTCACCAAGCGACCGACACTAGTCAGATTTACTAGCCGTCTGCACTATCCCCGTGTACAAGCACCTTAAGCGCCAACGCTTTTAGGGTGCGGCCAGACTAAAAGCGAGAAAGCTGAAGCGCGCGGAAGCTTGGAGCGCGCTGACGCGTGTAGGAGGCCAGACACAACGCGAGGTGGCGCGATCAGTCAAAGAAAATTTAGACAAGTCAAAGAAAATTTTCAACTATCGCCTCACTAGAGCCCGGCGATGCGTTTAGTGCGCGTTTGGCATTATGACCGCAAAGTTTAGATTACTAACGAAGTCTATCGAAACAAGTGTTGAACATGCAACAGTAATTGTAAAAGCCATTTGTGTTTATACAATATAGAATTGAAGTATACTTGTATATTTCAATGAGGTCACCATGCAGACGTCGATAGCTGAGGCTTGGAAGATTCATAATCGTTAATGTTTCCTCATAGGATTTGCCTTTCAAACCCGGAATTATCCTTGTTGCAAATCTTTGAACAATCTCGACTAAATTTTTGCCCTTTTCAAGTTTCGGTGACCACACGACGTATCCAAACTCTTAGTTCGTGCGTACGACAACAACAAACAACTGCTTTGTCGCTTCTGCATCTAGGAACTCGAAAGAGCGTCTGATCAGTCCAAATCGTTTATTGGCTTAATTAACTTGAACTTCAATATGCTCAAAAAATTTCAAATCATTGTCGATATTAAATCCTAAATCTTTTTCTATTGTCGACTTCGACATCATCACTCTGTCGTTGCATCACATATCAGACCAGCTGCTAGGGGTGCGAGGCGTCCCAGATAGCCGCAACGGCTTGGATGGAGCAGATCAAAGTTTTGACAGCCATCCTCGACGACGTCTCAGGGGCAACTACAAGCGCGTGCTCGCGCTTGTATATTTAACTCAACAAATCTACAAGCTTCGCGCCTCAGCAAGCGCCGCGGGTGCTAGCATGAACGCGCGTCCTATCTGGCCACCCCTATGGGATTGTTTGAATATAATATGGTCGCTTCAGCGCGCTTACGCTCGCGTGCGCTTTCTCGCTTTCTGTCTGGCCGCACCCTAAGTCTGGGAGTACCCTAGTTTTGGGTACGATTTTGGAAAGATTGTTAAGAGTATAATAGTGGTTAGATGTCGCTATTTGCGTTATGTCAACACAATTATGTCAGCAAGAAGAAAACTATAAATTAATTATTTATGTTATGTCAACAAGTAGAAAATGTGTTTCAGATTCATCCTATCGTTGATCTGAGAGGAGTGGGGCAAAATCTGCAGGATCACGTGGCTTTGCCAGGGCTAACTTGGTTCATCACGAAGAATGCAGGCAACGCCGTGCAGATGATCCTTACTCCTGAGGCATTCACAGCCTACCGCACCAAAAAGAACGGTGAGTAAAATGTAGTCACTTGTAAATATGTCACAAGAAAAATAGTATTGTTTTTAAATTTTAGCAATTTACGACCTTTTTGCTTCCAGGTCCGCTGAACGTGCCAATAGGATTGGTTGGCATTTATATGGTAAATTTGGGTGTGGATCCTGATCCAAGTGTAGAAGATGTGCAATATCGATTCCTGTCCGTGACGTTGGGAGCAGATTTCGGTCTGGTGGTCGCACCTAATTACGGGTATACTGATGAGGTGAGTTCAAGGATACTAAATTTAGTTGCAAGTATCCTTGTGAAAGATTAATAGCATAGTTAAACCTGTGATTATACGAAAAACCTAGACTTGACATTCGAAATTTTTAACCGAATCTGATGAATTAATAAGATAATTTCTAGAATTTAGACGAAATCGATCAACTCTTCGTCCACTCACAAAATAATGAAACAACATCATATGTGACTAGATAAATAAGCGGCAGAAATTAAAGAAATCTTACTATTCATGAGGCCGAAGATGCAGACAAGACATTCGATAGGATCACAATATATTGTTCAAATGATTTATTAACTTGTAATCTTTTGTACTGATCAGTAGTTAGCACCTTGTTGTGGGATGAATCCAGTAACACTAGCAAAATTGTAAGTTATCAAGAGTTAATTGTAAATTATCTGGTCCCTTTCGATAACTTTTCACTTGTACCTTATTACAATGTTTTCCAGTTAATCCAAGACTATGTGAAGAAGCAAGGAGGAAGAAGAGGGTTCATGATATTCATGGGAGTGTCGCGGCCAGCGAGTCGCGGGTCCGTCACGCTGCGCTCCAAAAATCCTCTGGATCCTCCAGTGATCGATCCCAACTTTTTGAGCAATTCTGCCGACGTGGATATCCTCCTGAAATGTGAGGACTGAGGTGATAGTAATAACAGTCGTATTGTGAAATGTTAGTTGTTGGCAATAGTTCGTCGCAGTTTCTTCTGTTTTAATTACGAAAGCCCTTATACTTTAGAGAAAGGTCTTAAACTCATATTAAAGAGGACCGCTTTGGAAAGTATACGGCCTGTCAGCGGGCCGCATCACGGAAAAATGTTATTTCAGTAACGTTTACGAACACCACTTACACTGCAGTCAAATGCTAAAGTAAAGTCATTATGATTATTAATTACAATTAGTCTAGTTTACACTCTTCTCTACAAACTGGTCTTCAGTGAATGTTTGTGATGCCTTTGCTATCATCTCGCCAACAACAAAGATTATATTGACAGAATCTTTGCTTGCTGTGTTGACGCGTTCAAAATAGTTTGTTTGCTGATAGATGCTTGCAATTGATCGACTTTTTCCTCACGCAGTTTGCCGAACTGTCCAGCATTATGTTCTCGATGCAATGTTCCATAATGTCGACGTACGTTGTATTCCTTGGGCTTAGAGTTACATGGCGAGCAAAGCTGAGTTACTCGCCGACTTGTGTGACAAAATATAAAATTTCCCACTTCTCATGAAACAACTTTTTTCATGCGCAATTTGTCACGTTTCGGACGGCGACGACATTTTTAGGCCTATCACACTTACTACAGTAAAGTTGGGTAAACAATGAACTCTCTTCCGCGACTGGCAAACCCGATAACAAAACAGAAAAAATTCTAACATATATCTTTAATCTCCAAGCACAACGTACAATCATAGGGAGCACAGCCGATGGCCAATCATTTAACTCATAAACTAGCCCTGTAACTAACGCTCAGCATAAACTTGCACAGCTGCTCTTATAGCAATTCAGAGCTATGAAGCCGAATATACCAAGCGGTGTCATAGGCTTAATTACGGCGCCTATGACTAAACATTTAACTTCATAGGCTACTTTAATCAGTAGCATGCTTGCGTGCGGATGGGAATATGAAAAGTATGATGGCATTAGACAAAGCTAGCCATTAACATGCATCCCCAATCATACATATGCACCGCGGAAGTGGCCACGGGCCGTACTTGATTGTTTCGCGGGCCTCGAGTTTGAGACTGCTGCTTAGGGCTCGATATAGAAGCCATTAAAAATTAGAGATATAAGTTATTAAAATATGTTAATTAAATAATAATTATATATGTTTCGTGTTAGCCATTCGATACGTGATGGTCCTCGGCAACACCACGGCACTGGGGGAGGGCTTGGGCGCTAAATTTTTCGACCAGGTGAGAATAAATTTTCTGTTGATGTAAGTGATGTAAGTTGCAGCATCAGGCTTTAAATATAATAAGCTTTTATCCAGCTTTTTCTAGGATCATCAATAAAATTGGTCCTTCTTCAATTGCGTGGGAATACAAAATTTAAGACAAGGAGGTTAATGAAGTTAGAATAAATATTTTCGTTTGAGGAACGAAAACAATCTAATTAGAGCTCGGAGTTTTAGGCTGTTTGCTTTGAACATTTTAAAGCTCCATTTGATCTTTAGATTGTTTCTTCCTCGAATTTAATCGTAGCGATAAAGAAAAAGGAAGAAAGCGGCCTTTGGCAGCTTTGCTACCGTTGACCTT